TATATAAATTATATATTAAAATCCTTATCCAATAATTCACACACAAAAAAAGAATATCGTTGTGGCCTTGGAGAAAAAAGGGTGCACGACGTCGTTATTTTTGCTTTCTTTGCGCAAAAAAGTATTCTCGTAGCTCCGTAACTTTACAGTTGAACCACTGATGTCACACGGACTACTTTGTCGATCATCTTGGTACTTTTCTGGACCTTGAACGTGGTAGTTACCTTGCTGTCTGTGGGAAGGTCGGAGAGCCCTCAGATTTCATCAAAAATATCTTAAATTGTGTTCCGAAGATGAACGAAGGTCTTACGGGTTTGGAACAACACGAGGGTGAGTAATTAATGACAGAATTTTCATTTTTGGGTGAACTAACCCTTTCAAACTCCCAAAAATATTTGGAGGCTTTGTGTTTGTCATATTTTGTGGAACAAGTGCATAGTTCATGTGATTAATTACACCTGCTAGGACACCTCTGAAATTGAGGGGAATGTTGCAGTGTAAAAAATGTTAGATATTTCAACTGAGAAAAAAAGTTAAATGCTACAGGAAAATAACTTTATTTAGCTTACCATTACATTGCATTCAATTTTACTGTAAAATATTATTTACTTGTTGTTTAAATCTGGTTATTAACAGCCTTATGCAATAATCACCTTTATTTTATATTTTATTTAGAATTTACTTTTTTATTTTTTTTAACAGTTATGTCAATGGAAATGGTTTACGTTTATTTATTCATTCATTCATTCATATATCTTTTAATTTAATTGTCTTGCTTTAAAATGTGGTATTTACTGTCGTGTGTTTAATGAAGCGAAATGGTAAGAAATCAGGCTATTCTCCAACTAAGGTCACTAGAAATACATCCATTTACGGCTAACAGTATCTGCTAGAGAGGTCACAAGACTATATTTCCTTATAGTAGCCTACTCTTACTGTACAAAAGACGCTTAATACAATATATGACGCGAAAAATACACGCAGCGTTCGCCTGGTCATACATTCAAAATGGTCACGATATCAATAATTCATTTTGGGGTTTTTTTTTAACACGTTAATTCAACCCATTATTGTCATTTGCAGCCTCTATGAGAAAATACACAAATATGACGGTATTCACGCGACGTCGACTGATGTTCGCACAAACACAAGGCCTTTCAGAGTAGCTTAGTCCCGCGACTGTGTCTATGTAGTATGTGTATTATTGGGTTTGTGGATGCTACACCTCTGCAACAACCCGTCATTATGCATGTTCATTCATTTAAATAATTTTATCTTTAGCCATATCGAGGTACTTACCTCCGTTTGTGCCCGTGTCCACAGAATATCCCACGATATCTCACTATCATGTGTGAGATCAAATTAAATGCACGCGTTATGTAAGGCAGCACTGCTCGTAGTGTGTGCTGCTGCTGCTGCTGCTGGAGATGGATTAAAACATGGCAGGTGTAGTCATCAGGTTTGCTGCTGTAGTAAAAAGTAGCCTGTGTGCAATGGTAAGAAAAGCAGCTGAATGCATGTAGATGAATATGTTGTTTAAAGGCTTTTCAAAAAAGATTTACTACAGGATTTAAAAAATATAGACTAATTGATAGGCCCAAATGCTTGAAAACACACAATGTGGAAATCCAGTTTATGGACATGAGCAGATTTATTAACTGTACATGTATGGATGTCATGGAATGGTCTCACTCGGGTCACAGCCAATATTCTGGAACTGTTCTTTAGGTTTTGAAACCGCAGACCAGGCAGTCTTGAACACAATAAGTAGCCTACAGGCCTGTAATGGTCTGTGTATCAGTGAATATTTTATACTCTATCCAAATCAATCTTTTGAGGTTGTTTTGTAAATGTACAGGTGATTCTACAAATGTTAAATTTCCATTCTTTCATTTTGCCTGTAAATATATTTCTGATCATTAACAAACATAGTAAAAATAAATAAATAAAAAAGAATGGTACAGTCATTCTTTTTTCATAGCTGTGTCTAGAATCACAAATAGTGTCCAAATTGGGCAACTAAACAAGAGTCAGTAAGGAAAAAACTAAAGAAGTCATGTTGTAGTTAATATGGAAAGCTTTCATGTATGGTTACTTTTGATGCTGTCACAAAAACATCAAAATGCAAAAAGTGTTTTCAATTAACTGCCATATTGCTTTTATTGTTACAGTAGAATACGAAGACAAAATCAATGCTGCTGGTGAGACATTTAATTTGCTTTGATAAATAACTAAACAAACCATATTCTACACCCAAGTGTCAAAATGTGTTATTCTGAATACAGTATAATTCCTCTTCTTTGTTACTTTCGAAAAAAACAAGTTATGTCATGCTGTAGTAAATCCAGTGCTAATTTTCTGAATAAATGTGAAATTGATTGAAAATTATATTATTAAGAAATATATATTTTTGGAAATGTACTGACAAGTAAGGACTAAAATAATTAGCTCATCTGCTACATCTATTATCTTACTATTTACATATTATTATTCAATATGAATATACACTACTGTTTAAAGGTTTGGGGTCATGAAAGAAATTAATGCTTTTAATCAGCAGGGATGCATTAAATTTAGCAAAATGACAGTAAAGACCTTTATAATGTTACAAAAGATTTCTATTTCAAATAAATGCTGTTCTTTTGAACTTTCTATTCATGAAAGAATTCTGACAAATATTAAGCAACACAACCATTTTTTTAAACATAGATATTAATATTAAATATTTCTAGAGCACCAAATCAACGCATAAAATTATGTCTGAAGAATCATGTGACAGTGAATAATATTTCTCAATAATATTGTTTTATTTATACTGTTTAAAAATGTTTTTTTAAATAAAACCTGACAGACCCCAAACTTTTGAATGGTATTGTATTGTAAATAGTATTTTACTTTTAAAAGTATTTACACATATTTGTGATACCGTCTGTCTTACTGTCATGCTTTGACCAGCAGGCAGCGCTACAGTTAGGCTACTGTATTCTCTTACCTCCATCATAGTGCTTCCACAGAATTAAACAATAAAAGTTCTTCATTCAGTGGACATGTTTCCACGTAGACTAATGAAAGACAGGAACTTAGTCATAATCATTATGATTTGCTGATGGAAAACAAAAACCAAAGAGCAGTTGACTATTATAAAATAACCCACAATCTTTCTATAAATTATAAAAAAGTTGTTAAACCTACTGAGTAAACTACTACAGCATTTAGGTGAGGTGTTAAAAATTAAAGGAAGACATGATTTTTCTGAAATGTATTACCCAGCTCTGTTATACAAGGACAAAAAGAAAGTACTGTTGCTTAAAAAAAATCCCTATTTTTAATCTTTACTTGGCTGTCAACCCAAGAGTATTTAAAATGTATATTTGGGGTCTCAGTCATGTAGGTCCTTTAGTCCACTGCACCGGTGGTGCGAGAACAGCAGCCCGGCCGGCGCAGCAACCCCAACAACCCCTTTTTTCTCCTCTGGGTTGATCCTGAGCTGTGTTGGGATGTTGCCGTGTTCTGGCGTGAGAGTTTTACTGCTATTCCCTTAGTCTCTTTGATTTGTACCTCCAGATGTTTCTGAATCGCGAGTCCGAGTTCCTCAGGATCGACTGAGGCTCCGTACACCTCCCAGGTCATGCCCTCCGCATCCCATTTCACCTCCCTCACAGGAGACTTTTGACTCTTTGACGCCACTTTGCCACTCGCATTTGTCTTCTCTTCAACCAGGCACACTTCTGGGAACACGTGCTGGGGATGCTCCTCAGAGTCCTGACCCACTTGCACTCCTACATCTCTCTGTTCTTTTTCTGTGGTCATGGTCCCCACTTCCCTCTTGGTCTTTTCATCCACCCATTGTTGAGCACCAACTGGATGCAACGGACCAGGCCAAGAGCAATCCAGATTGCAGCAGCGAAGGAGTCGCTTACCGTCCAATCCGGTCTCACTGACGGAGGAGATGAGCCGAGGGAGAGCGAGCAGGTTGCCTGCTGATACTTGGCCCTTGTAGCTTTCCTCCATTCCTACTAAGTGTGGAAGCAGCTGCGCCGGAGCAGGAATTGGTTGCGGGTGGCAATATGCCGCAAAGGTGTCCTCGACGGCTCCGTGGTGGAAGTGTGAGTTGCAACAAACAGC